ACTTATGCCAGCGTTTTTTCCAATTTTCGAAGCACCCTTGATATTCACTTTTTGATATGTCCTTGAGCACTCTCAGCGATTCGGCCTTTATTTCTTCAATCGAGGAAAACCGCCGTCCTTTCATGGGTCTCTTCAACTTTGGGAATAGGAAAAAGTCACACGGAGCCATATCTGGTGAATTTTTGCACTTTGCAACACTTTATTTCATTTTTTACGCAAAATTTAATACAAATTCTTTGACTTTTCAATTCTTCCATTGTAAAAATCGCCGAGCTCAGAAAAACACGTCGAACCTTAGCGACTACCACAGACAAAGTAAACAGTGAATATAGCTGAAAATTTCATCATACTTTAGGGGCATGTATACCAACACAATAAAAAAAAAATTTTGACAATCAGACACTCCAGACCCGCGAAATTTAATTATTAGTAATTCCGGGTACTTTTTGAACAGACCACGTATTTGCATCTCAGAAATCCGTCCGTCGCCATTTACATTTGACTGGCCTTTTTTGAATTTCTTGTTACCTTTTTGAGGGGTTTTAGAGTTTTGTTAAATTAAGTTAATTTTCTTTCTTTGCTACAAATTTATTTTAGATAATTTTTAGACTTCTTTGGCAAGTGTATTTAGAGGGCTATTATGCACGTACTTTTTTGAGGATTTTGCTGTACAGTCTGTTGGATCGAAGTCCTGGCCTTGGGGTGACAAATACTATCTTTTCTAAAAGTTCTGGTGACTTAATAAAGCCGTTTACTATCTTGTAAAAGAAAAGCAAGTCCGTGATTTTTTTCTACGCGCGGTGAAAGTGTTATTTCTCCTTTCCTTTATGATGTCATCAGCGTTGCATTCTTCTATAGTTTTGTCATAGTAGGCAAAGTTCGACATGTTTCTCAAACTTATACTGCACCTTATTCAGTCCATTAATCAATTGTTCAGTGTTCGGAGACCAGACGATTGAGCAAAAGTCCAGAGTAGGCCTGATTAGGGAAGAATATAGACAGAGTTTGTTATCCATAACCCTAGGACTACTTCTAGATCTTTTATTGTCATTACTTCATTAATTTTCTGATTACCCAGAAAATTGGTGTAAGTAATTAAGTGGGCATTTTTGTTAGCAAGTTATCGTTGGCAATTCAGTGGGCATTTTTATTTTCAAGAAGCATCATTATCCCAAGTTTATAAAACTTCTAGTTTTTATTCACCTTTATGAAATTTACTTTATAAAATGACTACTATTTTCAGTTATTTCAAAGTCGATGCTATTTTTGGTATAAAAAACGCGCAGGTTATTTAATTTTGAGAATATTTTAACAAATTAATTTTTATATTCCGACCTAAACAAAACATATGCGACAAAATAGGAATGTCGCAATTTATTACACAGGTCTTTGAAACTTAATGAAAAATTCCGTGAATTGAAATGACTTCATAATGAAAATTTCATAATTGAACAATTTATTATATCATATTTGACAATTTGTCAATTATTTTTTCAGCAAATACCTAATTACAAGTTTGATTACAAATTATAGCCATAAAAATAGACATTTACTCGAATGTCTATTATCTACCTGAAATAATTGAAATAATTTTTGATTTCAATTAAAATGTTGCAATTTTCATATCGTTTTCAATGAATTTCTACAATTTAGAAAATTTCCGTTTTTTAGCTTTTAATTAAATTTGATTGTAATCATTAATTAATGAAGACTTTTCGAATTAACTTGATAATATTGTATAAAATAAAGTTATTGTATAAAATATTTGACTTTTAAAGTGAATAAACTTTGTTTGGAATAGATAGTTTCATTTAATTAATGAATTATTACAATCAAATGAAGACTTTTTGAATTAACTTAATAATATTTATTTTACTTAAAAAATATTAAAGTAATATATTGTTTAAAAATAACTTTTTTTTTGAAGTTAGTAAAGTTTGTTCTGAATAAATAATTGAACTTAATGATTAATGATTCCAATTTAATTAATAGCTTTCGAATTAACTTTATAAATTGTTTATTTGATTGTAGTTTGATTGTAATCATTCATTAAATAAGATTTTTCGAATCAATTTAATATTTTATTTTTTACTTAAAGAATATTTAACTAATAAATTGTGTAATAGTTGGTGTCAATGAAATATCCTTAGTTATTAATTAATTAAAAAAAAATTATAGATAAAGACTTGTTAATTTACTAAAATGTATTTTACTTAAAAAAAAAATAAAATAAATGAAACTGTTTAACTAATAAATGTGTTGTTTTTATTTTCATTCGTTGCAATGATTACTACCTACTGTCGAAGAATGCTATCACTGATGATGGTGCTTAAAAATGATGATGGTCCACATCGAGAAGAGTTTCTAAACACCGGATAATATTGTGCTGAGAAAGCTGTCTGAAGTTTGCTATAACACATTACAGAATTGTCAAATCTTTTGCACTGTGGTTTCAACTTTTTTATGTTGGATTCGCTGTTACGAATGTGCTTATTGTGTAGCTCGTTCATCTCGCATTTTTTATTCTTTATTCGTGTTTTATTTCATTACATGTTTTCGAATCTTAGGGTATGACTTAACTTCCTCATTTTAGGGTATATCACTTTAGTTATAAGCTTACTTTTATTCACTTTTTACTGATTTGCACTTAGGTTAGGTTATTCTTTTAATTTCATTCATTGTTTACGGTATATAGCTTTGCTTATTCACTATTTTAAGGTTTCATTATGTTTACATAATCTACGGATATTACGAATAGTAAAACCTGTTTGTATGAAAAACAAACAGTTCAAGGAAATCTAGAATCTTGTGCCCCCTTGACAATTGTCAAAGGGTGTTTTGCAGATACAATGGCTTACAACAACATATTGAGGTTGATCACACCATCCATATCGAGCATGACATTTTCTTCTTTTAATCGTTTGTTCATTTTCGATTATAAACTATGTCAATGCACTTTTCTTTTATTTGGTATTCTTATGTAGATTTTCAATCATGGAAAAATAAAATTGAGCGGAGAGATATTACTCGATATGTAATAGATAAGTCTGGATACAAAATTATAGATGGGAACAAAATTATAAAAAGAAAAAAGGCAAAATTTCAAGGGCATCCAAAAAAATCGGAAAGGCATGTTGTGAATTCTAACTGGTAAAAATTTTATATCATAAATATTTAATATCATTTTGAAATACTGGCATATGCATAAACATCAAGTCTCATTATCGGCTTCATTATTTTAATTTTAATTCTTACTCTCACTAATGCTCTTTAGTTATTAAATAGATGCTTCCAAGTTCATTTACAACTTCGTTTTTTGCTAACAGACTCACGCGTTTGTAATATATTTGATTATTGATTCTCATTTAATATTAGCTGATTTTCACATATTTTATTTTTGTGACACAAGCTCTAACTTTTGAATTTGTAATGCTAATATGAATATTAATTAACAAGAACTTGTTTAAGAGATATATAAGTAAAATTATTTTAAAGAAATACTGTAGTCTGTATATAATTACTCGCAAAGCATTAAAACGAATAAGGAAGATTATGAGTATAAACAATCATGAAGCATGGATAGCTAAAATCGCTAAAATAAAAGAGCTTCTAGTAGTACACAGCATATCATAATACACACTTGCATTAACAATAATAGATCAGAATGGTAAAAATAAAAGAGCTTTTAATAATACACCGCACATCATAATACATACATACATTCACAATATTAGATCAGAATGGCAAAAATAAAAGAGCTTCTAATAATTCACAGCACATCATAATACATACATACATGCATTCTGTGTATCTAATGATGTAATAAACTTCTTCTCTCACAATTTATGGTAGTATTTGGTTTCATTTGTTTATATTATCATTTCAATTCTATCTTTCAAATTTCTAATGTGAATAACATTTATTAACAGCTATATTGTGGAGATAAGTTTTAAATTATGATCATACATATTTCTTTTCATATTATGGCAATCGGTTTTGAATTGTCAATATGATTTATTTATTGTTACTTTACGGTAATAGGTTTTAAATTATAAATATGATATTTATTGTTACATTATGGTAATAGGTTTTGAATTATCAATATGATTTATTTATTGTTACTTTACGGTAATAGGTTTTAAATTGTAAATATGATATTCATTGTTACATTAGGGTAATATGTTTTGAATTGTCGATGTATTTTTTATTTATTATTACATTATGGTAATAGGTTTTTAATTGTAAATATAATTTATTTATTATTACATTTTATAGTGATAGGTTCTAATTATGTGATCTAAAAGTTTTCAGTTATTCAATGTTGCATACTACAGTTTAAACTACTGTTAAAAACTGGAACAGTCCTGGATTTGAATAAGGCACTTATTCTGATAATAAAGATTGTGTTCTAAAATTCAATAAATTGTAGTCAACAATATTTGAAGTTTTCAACAATTATATTGCACACTAGTATGGAACAGATATAAGAAACCTTGGTATTGTATCATACACATAGTCTTGATATAATAAATATGAAAGATTTTAAATGTAGCAGTATTTGGCTTACATAATTATACATTTTTGTGATCAAGCAAATTTGTGCATACAAAATAGTTCACGTTTACCAGTGTTCTTCAATTCATATTAAACCACAAAACAAAGATTGAATAACATTGAATAAGTGTTGTGGCGACGGTTGTTCTGATCTTGACATGACCAAAGTTTCGAAAAAATCTACCATAACATAACAAAAATCCAATATTGCAACAAATTTCTGACTAAATGAAAAATTATTACTAAACATCAAAATAAGAAATTGAGGTTAAGTTTCGACAGTTGCGACAAATGTTTTGACATATATGAATGCTCTGCTGTTGGTATGCCTGCTCAGAAGAATTTCTGATTGTTTGAATGTTGGTACCGTGATTTTTTCGTTTCAGCACTTTATTAATCCGGTGTTTAGAGCCGTGTGTTGAAGGCGTCTGAGTTCTTTTTCTTTCGGGACTCCATTGGAAACACATGGCCATAAAAAAGAAAACCTGTTCAAGAAGTGAGTACTTTAGAAATAATGTAGCTAGTTAGTTGTGCAAGAAATATTTCGCGTTTGGTCGCTTTTAATGTGACACACGGTTTGTGCAATCTTGATGCAAGATAACTGGAGCCCCCTTGGGAGTCATTAGCGGTGGATCGAGTTATAATTGAAAGGTATGGTAATAGATCATATTATTATATTGTGTAGTGTGTAGGGTAATAGATATTCAGTGTACATTTGTATTATATTCTTGCCATTTTGAAAGGTTCCATTGTCGATTTCTCAAAATTTTTGATGATTTTATTACCACGCGGTTTTACAGGCTCGTGCTGATTTTTTATTGTGATTTAGTTGCAATTTAATTTTAATGCATCGATTTCAAATTTAGATCTTTTTTATACTTATAGGTTATACATATACTTATCGGTTACCTATATACTTATAGTTTAAATTCTTACAACATAACCTATAAGTTACAAGTGAAGATGCTGAAAATCAAAATAAAACTAGTGGGGCGCAGAGCATCGTGCCTTAAGACAAATTGCTGGAACTTCCCGTACCAAAAATTATTTTTTTTCAAACATTAACATTTTTGATACATACACACACACATACATAATTTTTTCCAAAGTATGCCAAAATGTTCAGGAACCTTAGGATAAGAAATGGAATGAAATAAATGAGTAAATTGTAATTATAAATAACTTGATGAATTATGTTGTGGATGATAATTCACTAGGTTATTTTCTCTTCAGGCCTTTTTGTTTTTCGACTAATTGACATATGCATCCAATTTGTATTGAAAATTTAAGCTTCTGATCACTGAGCCATTTTCTCTTCGGCCCTTTAGTTTTTTCGACTGACTGGGATTGACATATGCATCAAATTTCTTTAAAAAATTAAGCTTTTGATCACTGAGCCATTTTCTCTTCGGGCTCTTTAGTTTTTCGACTGACTGGGATTGACATATACATTCAAATTCCTCTCGAAGAATCAACCGTCTGCTTAATGACTTCTATTGGAAATTTTTAGGTCCTTGATGGATTATATAAACCATCGAGTGTTGCAAATCACACCCAGTAGTTTGTTTTGGGCTCCCTAAATTATGAGAATATTGCTCGTGCTGGTGTAGCCCCATAGCTGCATCCCATTGGAATTATCTTCGAGAAGCTTATTTTGTAATGAAAGTTTGCACAATCTTCCTATGAGACAGTTTCAGGACCTCAGTTTTAAATCCATTTATTCCTTTTTCATATATGTGCATTTTCCAATTTAGTTCACTATCTATTGCATATTAGATTTGTCATTCAAGTATAAGGGCCTTGTGTGGGTTTCTTTAAGATGTTGTGATTTGTTAACATCTGGTTCGATGTTTTATTTTGCTAGCCATAATTCTATTTCTTAACGAGCAAAGTTCTTCGAGTAGGAATTACACATATACTTCCTCGCAGACTTTTTTAACACGTGAGGCCCCAAATAAAACCCCAACATGTAATTCGAAGAAATGTTGCAACTATCAATCTTACTGTCAATTAATTTTAAAATGTTTTAATGCAGTATAAATTGAGAGATTTTATTTTAGAATTTTTCGACACTTTTTAAATAATTTGACTATTTTCAATTTTTTTAAACAATTTGACTATTTTATTTATTTTAAACAATTTGACTATTTTATTTATTTTAAACAATTTGACTATTTTATTTATTTTAAACAATTTGACTATTTTATTTATTTTAAACAATTTGACTATTTTATTTATTTTAAACAATTTGACTATTTTATTTATTTAAACAATTTGACTATTTTATTTATTTTAAACAATTTGACTATTTTATTTATTTTAAACAATTTGACTATTTTATTTATTTTAAACAATTTGACTATTTTATTTATTTTAAAAATTTGACTATTTTATTTATTTTAAACAATTTGACTATTTTATTTATTTTAAACTATTTGACTATTTTATTTATTTTAAACAAATCGACAATTTTATTTATTTATTACAATTTGACTATTTTATTTATTTAAACAATTTGACTATCTTATTTATTTTAAACAATTTGACTATTTTATTTATTTTAAACAATTTGACTATTTTATTTATTTTAAAACAATTGACTATTTTATTTATTTTAAAATATTTGACTATTTTATTTATTTTAAACAATTTGACTATTTATTTATTTTAAACAATTTGACTATTTATTTATTTTAAACAATTTGACTATTTATTCATTTTAAACAATTTGACTATTTATTGATTTTAAACAATTTGACTATTTATTTATTTTAAACAATTTGACTATTTATTTATTTTAAACAATTTGACTATTTATTTATTTTAAACAATTTGACTATTTTATTTATTTTAATATTTGACTATTTTATTTATTTTAAACAATTTGACTATTTTATTTATTTTAAACTATTTGACTATTTTATTTATTTTGTACAATTTGACTATTTTATTTATTTTAAACATTTGACTATTTTATTTATTTTAAAAACTGATTTGACTATTTATTATTGTACAATTTGACTATTTTATTTATTTTAAACAATTTGACTATTTTATTTATTTTAAACAATTTGACTATTTTATTTATTTAAACTATTTGACTATTTTTTTATTTTAAACAATTTGACTATTTTATTTATTTAAACAATTTGACTATTTTATTTATTTTAAACAATTTGACTATTTTATTTATTTTAAACAATTTGACTATTTTATTTATTTTAAACAATTTGACTATTTTATTTATTTTAAACTATTTGACTATTTATTTAATTTAAACTATTTGACTATTTATTTAATTTAAACAATTTGACTATTTATTTATTTTAAACTATTTGACTATTTATTTAATTTAAACAATTTGACTATTTATTTAATTTAAACAATTTGACTATTTATTTAATTTAAACAATTTGACTATTTATTTAATTTAAACTATTTGACTATTTATTTAATTTAAACTATTTGACTATTTATTTAATTTAAACTATTTGACTATTTTATT